TGTTACTTTTATAAACTAATATAGAACAGCTGTTTTTTGTGCTTCGTAAATCTAGTGTTAAATAAGTCGAAAACAGCCTATCGTAAAGATACATTTATGAGTTATTTATTCAATTCATTTGTTACAATAACATTTGTTAAAAATCAGGGTAAATGTCCGATTGTCACTTTTATAAACTAATATAGAACAGCTGTTTTTTAATCACTTTTAATAAGTCGAAAATAGCGTGACAGCGTTACCAGATTTTTCTCGTGTCTTTGTAATTTAATATTACAGCTACTCATTTTTTCCATAAACGCAGAAAATCCGCAATCCAGCGATTACTCTCCATTTCATCTTTCGTACTCGCAGCCATTTTAACTTCGAAACAACAATTGTATTTTCGATATAAACGAATCCGATAACGAGGAAATTAAAATGCATTCGATTCGACGATATTAAATACGGTATCAGTTTCTCTTTATAATTACAGACAGACATCGGTTCACGTCGTGCAACAACGTTACACAGCTCGCATAGAAGTTAACCGAAATAAAGAAAAAATAAATACACATTGTTTAAATTTACGTTCAGAGATGAAAAGTGAAAAACCGCGAGTATTTTATTTTCCTTCGTCCTTCTAAGTGATAGCAATTTTTTTAAAAATGCATTTTTTGGTGGACTTGTTCTTTTGGCGCCTTCGAAAAAGTTCTAGTAATTTCGATCAATTTGAAAAAAATTGATTGTGTTTCGAAAGGTGTTTGAATATCTTCGTGAGCTGTCGTATAATGCCAGTGACCATGGTCCTCTTAAAAAAGTGGCGAAAGCGTTTCCCTCGCGAAGAAACGTCGCCGCGAGCAACGAGGACACACACACACACACACGCGCGCGCGAGAGAGAGAGAGAGACAGAAACACGGTGCAGCGTAAACTGCATTATCTTTAACCCTCGGTCGTCAGCCGCGTGCAATTCGACGCATTTTTCCCGCACACGGTGCACGTCGCGATAAACGCAAAAAAGCAGCGCGGCGAGCGCGTCGCTCGATTATTTGCGAACGACGACGCGATCGATGCGAACAATCCTACGCTCGAATGTGCAGAATTTTAATTGTTTTGTTTCCAATAAAGGGATTTGCAAATTCAACTGTTCACCTTTCCGTTGTATCGATGTTTCCACCGCTGCTGTGTCAACTCGATACCAAGGAAAAAATTAACGATTGTGTTACCACCGGAATTTTTCGGCCCGCATTTTCGTGTCGCCGGCGCAAATAAATGTGAAAGGATGCCGGTACGAAGTGGTCTCGTGATTTTTCGACGTAAACAGAATTACCCGCGCGGACATTCGCGTCGATGTTCCAGAAATTACGGGCAATTCTCTGCGACTGACAGCTGTCAATTTAGAAACGATAAATGGCTGTTGGAAAACTTCGTTTGAAAATCGAAGATGACGCTACTCGTTGGAAGTACTCGGATGATGCTGACAACGGGTATTATAATTGGACAATGTTGACAGGAATTATTTGGTCAGTGTTGACAATAAGTACTTGGACGTTAGTGACAATAAGTACTTTCACGATATTGACAGTAATTACTTGGACAGCATTGACGAGAAGTACTTCGACACTGTTGACAATAATTACGTGGACAGTATTGACAGTAATTACTTGGACAGTATTGATAATAAGCACTTGGTCACTATTGACAGGAATTACTTGGACACTATTGACAGTAATTACTTGAACAGTATTGACAATAAGCACTTGAACACTATTGACAGTAATTACTTGAATAGTATTGATAATGAATATTTAACCACTAGTGACAATTAAATACTTCCACACTGTTGACAGTAATTATGTGGACAGTATTGACAATAAGTACTTGGACACATTAGTGACAATAAATACTTCCACAATATTGAGAGCAATTACTTGGACAGTATCAACAGTAAGTACTTGGTCACTATTGATAGAAATTACTTGAACACTATTGACAGTAATTACTTGTACAGTATTCACAATAAGTACTTAAACACAAATGATAATAAGTACTTCCACGCTATTGACAGTAATTACTTGAACATTATTGACAGTAATTACTTGAATAGTATTGACAATGAATATTTAACCACTAGTGACAATAAATACTTCCACACTATTGACAGTAATTATGTGTGACAGTATTGACAATAAGTACTTGGACATTAGTGACAATAAATACTTACACAATACTGAAAGCAATTACTTGGACAGTATCAACAGTAAGTACTGGGTCACTATTGACAGAAATTCCTTGACACTATTGACAGTAATTATTTGTACAGTATTGGCAATAAGTACTTAAACACAAATGACAATAAGTACTTCCACACTATTGACAGTAATTACTTGAACAATATCGACAATAAGTACTTGAACACTATTGACAGTAATTACTTGAATAGTATTGACAATAAGTACTTTAATAATATTGACAATAAGTATTTCCACAATGTTGACAGTAATTAAATGAACATTACTGACAATAAGTACTCTGACACTATTGACAGTAATTATTTAGATGCTATTGACAATAAGTACTTAATCACTTTCAACCACAAATATTTAAACAACACTGCAGCCTCGTCACTATCAACAACTTACAGAGATTAAAATTCTCTAAATCTTCGGAATGAAATGAAATAGCAACCGAGATTCCACCAGCATCTCAGTCCACCTTATGACAATGATCGCGGACAATATCTTTCCAACTGAACGCTCAAGTGAACGCTCATATGGCCGATTCGTTTTGCTTGATTTTCCACTACATTTTCATATAATTGGGGCCGAGCCTTATCGGTGAAGACTGTGACCTGTTTTCAGCTCGTCAAATCGCTTCCTCCCGATTATTGACGGAAAAGAACCCGTACGAAGAATCTCGCAGCGTTGAAACGCCTGATCTCGATGGCCAATTAGGTGTTCTCTACCTCCTGCAATTAGACGTTCACCAAACTTTTCTCTCGATAGAGATCGTACGAACTTTCAACGATTTATTACTTCACAGGCGTTTGTTCTCCGATGACAGGTTAAAAGAACACGATTCGAATAATCCTGTATCAGAAAAAAAACGTTGCGAACTAAAACGTCGTTCCTTTAGCTCTTTAGGTGTTGCAACAGAGATCATTCGCATCTCCGTTGACTCGGTGCATTTATTTTCGGATGTCATCTTTCGACAGACTGTACCACGGATTTAGAAACGACGTTCGATAGCTATTACTTCTTATTGATTTATTATTATCGGTTCGTCAAGCTTCGACTATTTCAGCTCGAGATGTTGCAACTCCAAAAACCGATCATAAACAATTCAACGCAGACCGCGAGACAAGAATACACATCGGATTCGAGGCGTAATTGTTTCCGCACTTTGAACTAATCTCAAACTATTGCACTCGCGAGCACCTGGGTATCGATTTCATTGCGCGAATATCGATCGTGAACGGAAACGGCGATCACATTGTCAAGGGAGGCTCGACCAGGAAACCTATAAAGTGATACGCGAGTCTCATATTTTCGTTTTACCGTCTTCATTTTCTTTAAACACCTGTGGTCGGATCATTTTCAAATGTCTGATGTTTTAGGTGTCCCTAGAATCGATTAATTTCGCGCTTCGTTCATTAATTGCGTCGTCGTTTAATTCGGCTGCACGTCGAAAACAAGGTTGCTCTTCGAGATCAAAATATCCATTATCAAGTCGATCGAAAGATTTTCTGCTCACGCGGACGATATTTCACGCATCTCCGATAAATTTCGCGTTTTATGAACTAAATTACAAATCCTCTCCTCGTCTAATTCAGTCGCTTAACTCAGATCAACGAGGTTAATCTTTAGGATCAAAACTTCTTTCACGAGATCAAGAAAGTCCCAAACGCGGTTAATCTTTGGGATCAAAATCAAGAAAATCACGAAATCAAGAAAAAATAAACGACATTGTATACATAATATACAAGGTGTCCCGGTATTTTTTATGTTCAAAATATCTCGGTATGCTCTATGGCACTAAGAGAAGAGTGTTATATAAACACAACTCACTCGGAGCTTCGATAAAAAGTTGTAACAAAAATACCGGATAAAGGTGGAATAGTAATCGATTCGCTGTTACTGCGGACATTGGCTCGAATAGCTCAGCAATATTTACGTCGAGCGTGTTTGTGTAAGCAGTGATTACTACCCGAGATCGTCTAAGATCATTAAAGCTCAAACAGCTTTTAGCTTTTAAATAGCTATTAGTAGTTGAAGCGCCGATGTCAAGCAGTACATAAATACGTTGACCTGTTCCATCCAATGCTCTCGGTAACAGCAAATCTATTTCACATGTATCGCGTATTTTCGTTATAATTGTTTAACCTGTCAAAATGACGTAAATTTTTTAATTTACGATTATTCATATCGTAAAGATACACAATATACGAGTGATTTATTCAATTTATACGTTACTTGCGGCAAATGTTACAAAAACGCTCGTCAAAAATCAGAATAAATCTCTTAACGTCACCTTTATAAACAAATATAAAACAGAGCTGTCTTTTCGTGCTCCGTAAATCTAGCGTAAATAAAGCTCTAAAAGACCTACGTTCGCATAACATTATCTCCTTGTTTAGTACCACAGGATATACCGACAAAGTTTGGACATTAAAACCCGGGACACCGTGTACAATAAACGTACGACATTGCTGCTAAAAATGAGACTTCCTTGCTTGGTTCTCCACAATACAAAAGACAAAACATTTTCAACGATTCATCCTCCCGAATCCCTTCCCTAAACCGAACCCGCTCATTGGACCTCTGTCCCATCAGTCGCCGATCACTCGGTGCTCACGCATCGAAAAGAACAAACCCATTTGCAAGCACGAGCTTGCGAATCGGTCCGAGGCGAACGCATTCGCGGCCCTAACTCGCGAGGCGTTCAAACGGAGCGACATTCTCGCGGAACGCCCCCGAATTCGGGGCGCCGTGTCGGCGAGGGTGCCGCGATCCGTGGACTCACCGATCATCGTAGACGAAACCGGCGTGCAGGGTGTTGCAGTAAAGGGCCGTGGCGACGAGGGCGCAGGCTAGTGCTAGGATATCCATGTCACATCGTGGCGAGGACGGTGGCGGCGGCAGCGATGTCGACGGCAGCGGCGGCCTCTTAACTTGTTGCACGTCCGCGGGCCTTCCTCCTCCACCACCTCCACAGCCCCTCCTCCTCCACCTCCTGATTCCAGCGGCTCGTCGTACGGCGGTCGAGACGTCCGCCGGACGGTCCAGTGACCGCCGCTCTGACGCCTGCCCGGATGTATCTCGCCCGGGCCGAATGTCGGTGACACGTCGCGAGAAACGAGCCAGTAATCAAGCCGCAGCTTCGCCGAGTCGTGACGCTGGGTGCCGCGTCGCGACCAGGACCCGCCGATATGCCGATAAGATCGACTTCGATCCGCCGTGCCGGCGACCTATCGGTACTGCGGAGCCGGGGACTGCTTCGATACCCTTGACATCCGAGGTCCTCGCAGGATCTGGGCTCGGCTACCGTCGCTTAGTTCTGCTGCTCCGGGCCTGGAGACCCAGCTGACATCCGAGGTCTGTTCGCAAATATCTGGGCTGGGTTTCTTTTCGTCGAGACGTTAACGGTCTGACGGAACAGGCAGCCTAGCTAGCCTGGACATCAGACGTTCTCGCGAAATCTGGGCTAGACTCGACGGCGAGACGACGATTCAGCTGATCTGGGGCTAAGAGACAGCCTAGGCAAGGCTGTCGAGATCTTCGCAAATTCTGCGCTAGATAAGATGTCAAAGTGTTAGTTCGGTTGCTCGAGAGACAGCCTAGGCAGCCTGAACATTCGAGGAGAAACAAGTCTGCTCTGTGCGAAGGTATTGGCTCGTCGAAGCTGGTGCTAAACAGGAGACAGATCAGGTAGCCTGGTCCAGGATTTTCTGGAATCAAGTCTGGTCTAGTCTGGGGTCTAGTCGAGCTGGTCTGGTGCAAGAGATAGCCCGCGACGTCTAAAATCGTCAGCGATCGTCAGGTCTGCCCTCCGATAAGAGGGTCTCAGTTCAGCTGATCTCGTGCAAGAGATAGCGAAAACATCCGCGATCCCTGTCAACTCTTGGTAAAGCTAGCAGAAAGGGGTATCGGTTCGGCGCAGCTGGTCCCGGAGAATAGCCAGAGAGAGAGCCAAGATCGCCGGGGCAGCCGAAGGAGGACGCGGAGGAGGATTGCTGGCGCGCGAATCTTCTCACTGATCCGGTCACTAAGTATAACCGGCCCGGCGTCACTTTCACTGGGATCACCCGGTTTCCTCTTCACGCGATCACTGATCGAAGGGAACGACGACGACGCGGGTGGACCGCGCGGAGCTGGGCCCCGAGCACCGTCTTGGTCAACGGGACCGTCTCTTGTCCCCTGGACCGGGGGCGGTTGTTGTCGGCGTGTGACAACGGCTCGCAGGTTGGAACGTGAACGGTAAGTCGGCCTGTGTGGGAACCGGTCGCGGCGGTCACCAGAGACGGCAGCTGCACACGGCGCGGAGGACTCGCTGGCTGATGGTACAGCGGCGAACACTGGCAACGAGGACGAGTGATACGGGTAGGCACTGTGTACCCGCGACGCGGCGCATGTTCCGAATGCGGAACGCTAACTGTCGCGCGCCCCCCGAGGACGAGCGCTTTATACGAGCGGGAGACGGGCATCGATCGGACGGGCGCTTGCGCTTACCCGCTCCTCTGCTATTCCTCCTCCTGCCTCCTCCGGTGTGCTTCCTGGTCCTCCTTGGTCACTTCTCATCTCCTCTCTTCTATTCGGCTTTGCTTCGCCTCTCTTCGATGCTCTAGTCCTTCCACGTCTGATCGACCTTCTAGTCTTCTACACGTTGATCTCCTATGCTCTAGTTTCCTCTGATCTCCTCTGGTTCTCGCTGCTCTAGTTTCCTCTTGTTAGTTGTTCCGTCTGGTTCACTCTGCTCTAATCTTCTCACTTCTGGTCTCCTGTGCTCTAATCTTCTTATACCTGGTCTTCTCTGGTATGATCTAGCGGCTGTGTTTTTGTTTGCTATAATCGTCTCGTTTCTGGTCTTCTTTGCTCTAATCGTCGTTTCTCTGGTTTTCTTTTTCTTCTCCAATCTCCTCTCCTTCGGCCTTCTCTTTTTCCTTCTAATCTATTCTGGTCTATTCTGCTATAATTGTCTCGTTTCTGGTGTTCTTTGCTCTAGTCGACGCTTCTCCGGTTTTCTTTTTCTTCTCTGGTCGTCTCTTCGCTGGTCTACTGTTGTTTCCTCTGGTCCATTTTGCTCTAATCTCCTCAACTGTGGTCTCGACTGCTATAATCGTCTCGTTTCTGGTCTTCTTTGCTCTAGTATCTTCTTCTCTAGTCTTCTTTTTCTTCTCTGGTCATCTCTTCTCCAGCTTTCTGTCGTTTCCTGTGGTCTACTTTGCTCTAATCCCCTCAACTGTGGTCTCGACTGCTCTAATCTTCTCATCTATAGTTTTCTTTGCTCTAGTCTCCTCTTCTCTAGCCTTCTCTTTCCTGCCCAGTCTTCTCTTTTACAGCATTCTCCCCTTTCCTCTGGTCTATTTTGCTCTAATTTCCTCAACAGTGGTCTCTTCTGCTCTAATCGTATCGTCTTTGGTCTGCTTTGCTCTATTCTGCTCTTCTCTAGTCTTCTCTTTCCTCCCTAGTCTTTTCTACTCTAGCCTTCTGTCCTTTCATCTGCTCTAGTCTGCTCTAAAACTCCCCACCATTGGTTTGTTCTGCTCTAATCTTCTCATCTCTGGTCTTCTTTGCTCTAGTCTCCTCTTCTCTAGTATTCTCCTCCTTCCTTAGTCATCCCTTCTGCAGCCTTCTCTCCTTTCCTCTGCTCTATTCTGCTCTAATCTCCTCACCTTTGATCACTTCTGCTCTAATCTTCTCATTTCTGGCCCCCTTTGCTCTAGTCTCCTCTTCTCAAGTCTTCTCTTACTTCCTTAGTCTTCTCTTCTCCAGCCTTCTGTCTTTTTCTCTGCTCTATTATACTCTAATCTCCCCACCACTGCTTTAATCTTTTCATTTCTGGTTTCCTTTGCTCTAGTCTCCTATTCTCTAGTCTTCTCCTCCTTCCTTAGTCTTCCCTTCTGCAGCCTTCTGTCCTTTTCTCTGCTCTATTCTGCTCTAATCTCCTCATCTCTGACCTCTTCTGCTCTAATCTTCTCATCTCTGCTTTCTCTAGTCTTCTCTTTCGTCCCCGATCTCCCCTCCTCCAACCTTCTCTTCTCTCCCCTAATCTATTCTGCTCTACTCTCCTCACCAGTGGTCTCCTCTGCTCTAATCTCCTCATCTCTGGTCTTCTTCGCCGCAGCTTTCTCTTCTCCGGTCTTCTCTGCCGAGGTCCTTCCTTCTCCAATCTTCGTCACTCTTCTAGGCCTAGCTCCGGCATCTTCAAGCTAGCTACCTCGCGTGCTGCCGGCCGCAGCACATCTTTAACCTAGACCACCACGACCGCGACCAACGGACTGGATTAACCGCAACTCCGGCGACACTGGTGACCGATAGCTGCCCTTTTGGAAAATGACGCGTAACGACGACCGCGGCAACGATCCCGTTTCACAGCGCCGCTTCGCCCTGGAAACTTATCGAAACTGCAATTTTGTATAGTACGTACATTGTACGCATTCCGCAGCATCGGATGCCGTTCGAAGTTTTCGAATATACCGCCCGGTTACTATGTCTCTATGTATTTCGACCTTTTTGAGAAGCTCAATATTTGCGAAGATTAAGTTTATTCTACAGAAAAAGAGAAGACTATTTGCAGAACGTTTCGCTATTAAAATGTGAGTTATAACGATGAATTATGCACGCGAGCGACGCAATGTATTTTTGAATTCGGTCTTGCGCTTCTCTATTCTCGATGTGTCTCTTTAATCGTCGTCGTATTTTAATGTAATGCAATAGAGACAGTCCCGACAGTCGTAGAGAAAGATCTGTTCTAACGAAATTCTTCAACGTAAAATGTCAACTTTGACATCCAACCGACAAATTTTGCCCGTTTTCTGCCATTTCTGTGATATTTCAGTTTAAATATTAAATATTATTTATGTGTAGAATATAATTATATTTGATGTTATTCACTGCGTCAGGCAGTTAACTATTGATAATAAGATAACTATTGATGCAAAAGATAAATTATATATATTATATAATTAACATTATAATGACTATTGTCTTATGACCACGATAAAATTTGGATTTGTCTAAACTTCTATTTTTATTATGATTTAATTTCCATTGTATTTAGTTTTCATAGAAACGTGTTTCCAATGTCAGGAACCGCGAAAGAAAAATTCAAGAATCGGACATTTCCGCCGGTTTTCCGGTTCTAGTATTAAAAATGGCGCTTGTGTCATTGCTTTCTGATTGTCCAATGTTGAATTCGCCAATTTGTATTAACATAATCATATTCGGCAAGCTTATCGGTGCAAGAGCGCCGATTTTCATACAAACGGTACGAAGTTGCGAATTACGGGCCAACATTTCGGGAAAAGGTACCATTACGCGGCGACAGTCGCTGGACCAGTTTAAAGGGCACCAACGTCTTGGACCCGGCCACCTTGGAACGTCCCAGGACCACTGAAAGGATAATGTTACCGGGCGCCGCGTGATCGCGTGCTTTGATGCGGTCCCTTCCCAGTAATGGCCAAACGGTCTGCCAGGAATTAATGTCGAGCTGCTAACTGAAAACGGGATGTTTGAGCATGATTGAGCGAGGCGCTTGGCCGCGATGACGGTGTAGCGGGTTGTTACGTCGGTTATGCTCGCTATCTTTTATATTTTCGGGGATGCTGGCGCGCACGAACGGGGAATCGCGATAATTGGGTTCAGCCGATTTGCGCACTGATTGTAGAACACGGGGGAGAATGTATATTAATTGAAATGCCAAAACCGCGTACAAGTTGTTTAACATGACCGGCTATGTAGAACACCATCATCGGCCGGTTGCGTTCGCGAATTCCATTTTCCAAAACAGCGACAGGAAATTTCGCATTACAGCGAATTCTCTGTAAATTACGCTGAGATTGTATTGTACAAAAAAAAGAAGTGGACGATTTGAGAAGAGGAGGTACGATTATGCGAGCCTTGCGGCTCGTTTTCATAGTCATCGATTGTCTAGGTTATGTGTACCGAATTGCCATTTTTTTGTACAATTCGAGCGTTAATTAGGGAGAATTTACCGGAGTGGTTTGATACTTTGATATTTTGTCATAGCCTTAAGTTCTGAATTTAGATCACGGTGATATTAATCCGTGCGAGGCGGTGGATAGGTCAATTTTGACCCAGAGTATTGAACACTTCACCCATGAATGGGTGACGGAATTATTTGATCAGATTTGAATAGCATTTGTTACCCTAATCTATTATCTTTTTCACTTGTTCATTTATTCAAAGTCGCAGCTATTTTCTTGGGTTATTAACTATCGCGTTAAATAATTATTAATTGATAATTATTAAATATTGTATCTTTTATTATTATCTATTGTATTTCCCAAATTCCATTAGCGATCCGTGAAACGTAAGAACGTTGAAAAAGTAATCGACGCGAGACAATCTATCCTTTCAATTCCAGTTTGTTCAATTTTTTAATTCGATTGTCAATCAATTTTTTGGATCGTGTGACGGTCAACGTGTTAAACCGTTCCCTTAATTACTGAATTTCCGGCAATTAAATCGAATAAATTGCCGTTAAAAATTGGAACGGTAGAGAGGTTAATCAGTCTGCGAGAAATATCCTCAAAAATATATTTTGAAAAATTAGTTATTATGTTTTGCGAAATTCAATTTTACTTAATTTGCCTATACTCAATTTAATCATAATTTAATCTTCATTTTAACCTCGACATTTTGCAAGTTTCTAGAAAAACAAAACCTTGGTTGCAACGTAACTGGAGCTCGCAACTAGAGTTATCAATGTACAATAAAGTCTCCCTAATTGACGCTCAGATTTTCCACAAAAATGGACGATTTTGAAAGAGGAGATACGATTGTTCGAGCCTTGCGGCTCGTTTTTTATGGTTATCGATTGTCAACAATTATAAAAACGTGCTTCAAGGCTCGAATAATCGTGTGGTTCCTAGCGAGGATCTTCGTCGCGGCTTCGTCGACGAGTCATTCACGGGAAACGGAGTACATGTCTCTCTAATTGACGCTCAGATTGTCCACAAAAATTGACACTTTGGGAAGAGAAGATACAATTATTCGAGCCTTGCAGCTCGTTTTCATAGTTGTTGACAATTCGTAACTATAAAAATGAACCGCAAGAATCGAATAATCTTCTCTTTCTAAATTGCCCATTTTTGTGGACAATCAGAGAGACATTACTGAGCGTCAAAAAAAAAAATTAGAGAGACATTACTGTACAATAAATTCTCCCTAATCAACGTTCAGATTGTACAAAGAAAATGGACAATTTGGGAGAAGGAGATACGATTATTCAAGCCTCGCAGTTCGTTTTTATAGTCACTGATTGTCAACAACTACGAAAACTATAAGGCTGAAATAATCGCATCTCCTCTTCCCAAATTGTCCATTTCTCTGCACAATTTCGGCGTCAATTAGGGAGACATTACTATACAGGGTGTCCCAAAAATGTCTCGCAATCCGAAAGTGGCGGGTTCCTCAGGCCATTCGAAGCAAC